TATAAGAAAGAGAATTCTTTTTTTTATTTTATTTTATTTTATTTATTTATTTATTTATTTATTTATCTATCTGCAGATCTATATCTTGTTTCTCCTTGTCCTATAGGAGGAAGGTACGGTTGAGGGTGTGGGGGCCCCATTCCTCCTAGAAATGAGTGTGGGGGCCCTCCAAGATGGGGGGGGGGCCCTATAAGAGGGTCTACAGGGGGCCCCCCTGGTTGTACCCCTCCTATATTACCTGTAATATTACTGTGTGTTTGTAGGGTGGGGTTGTTATCAGGGTTGTTTATTCTTTCTCTTTCTTCTCTTTCTCTTTCTTCTTCCCTATTATTATTATTATTATTATTATTATTTATATTATTATTATTATTATTATTTATATTATTATTTATATTATTATTATTATTATTATTATTATTATTATTATTATTATTATTATTATTATGATTTTTTATACTAAGATCAGTAATATATTTATGTATAAAATATAATGAATAAGAAAGAGTAGCAAAGAAAGTAAGAACAAGAGAAGAGACAGCAGCAGCAGCAGCAGGACCAAGAGGACAAACAGCAGCCCCACCAGCAGCAGTAACGCATGCAGCAACATCTGTACCTACACCCCAAGAAGATAGACCAGCTAACTGCAACAAGAGAGCAACAATCCATGATATAATACCAATAAGATAAATAGGTATATATTTATAAATAAATAATATAATATAATTAATAGTATATATATTATTTATATAATTAATATAATAATAATATAATAATATATATATAGCACTAATTATACCTATACAACTAAATATTATATAACTTATTATTATTCTTATTAATAAATTACCTTTTTTTTTATATATAAATAAATCCTTGCAGTGTATATCATAGATAGTACGCCCTAATAGATCTTCCCTTATTAATAAATAATCTTTCCTTAGGGACCCGGGGGCCCCTGGGTCCCTCCCTATTGTTATACTATAAGGAGGAGGGTTAGCTAGGGGGCCCCTGGGGCCCCCTTCATCATTATCTTCATCTTTCTCTTCATCTTTATCATTTTCTTCTTCATTATTATTATTATTATCTGCAGCAGCAGAAGGATCAGCAGCAGCAGCAGCAGGATTAGCAGCACCAGGAGCAGCAGCAGCAGCAGCAGCAGACGGATGATCATTAGGGGATTGTAGACGACGGGATAAGAATGGATCTAATAAAGATATACCTTCTCCTCTTGCTGCTGTTGCTGCTGTGTATCCATCCTGTTGCTGCTTGTGCTGCTGCTGCTGCTGCTGTTGCTGCAGCAGGAGGATATGCTGTTGCTGCAAAGGTAGATAGGGTTCAACCTGTCCGGATAATTGTTCTTCTTCTCCTCCTTTTTCTTCTGCTGCAGTTGTTGCTGCAATAGTTGCTGCTGTTGTTGTTTCTGCTGTTGCTGCAGTTGTAGTTGCTGTTCCTGCTGCTGCTGCTGCTGCTGCATCAGGTCTTGCTCCCTCATGACCACTACTACTGTTGCTGCTATTGTTGTTGTTATTGGTATTCTCCTTCTCCCCTTCTGCTGCTGCTGCTGCTGCTGCTGCTGCTGCTGGTGGTGGTGGTAATGTTTCTGTTTCCTGCCCATTATTAATATAATTATTAATAATATAATTATTATTAATATAATTATATTTATTTTTTTTTTTTTTATTAGGTGTACAATATATACTATCTATTGCATCTTGGTAATAAATAGGAGAATCATAGAAGAAAAGATCTCCTTGTTTATTAAATAAATATAATAATTGTATTCTTTGTATATAATTAATACCTAAATAAACAATAGATGTATTATATCCATTAATATTATTATATTTAATTACTTGTTTCCTCCATGATAATAAATATACAGATATAATTATTAATAATATACTTAATAATCCGCATATTATACATATATATATACTTATATCTAATGTTTTTCCCCATAAATAACCAACACTTTCTCCTGCATGCAATGCTCTTCTTGTTGCTCTTCTTAATGTACTTCTTCCTCCTCCTTCTTCTCCTCTTGTTGTTGTTGTTGTTGTTCCTCCTCCTTCTCCTCCTCCTTCTTCTTCTCCTCCTGCTGCTGCTGCTCCTGCTGCTGCTGAGGAAGAAGAAGAAGGATCTCTATTCCCTTCCTCGTTCGCCACACTGTTCCTACTGTCCAAGTTATGCTCCTCAGGGGGGGCCCCATTAGGATAGGGGGCCCCTGTAGATACACCAGGAGTACCATTTCCTTCTATGTCATGCTGCTGCTGCGGATGTTGATGCTGCTGCTGCTGCTGCTGCTGCTGCTGCTGCTGCTCTGATGGTATATCTAGACCAGCAGCAGATGGATATTCAGAATTAAATGGATTATCTGCTTGCTGATCTTCTTGTAGATAAAGAGAATCTTTTCCTCCTCCTCCTTCATGACCTGCTGCTAATGCATGCTGCTGCTGCTGCTGCTGCTGCTGCTGCTGATGCTGCTGCTGCTGATGATGAT